TATATATATAGAGAGAGAGAGAGAGACAGAGAGAGAGAGAGAGAGAGAGAGAATATTAAACCAAAATATCAATGCCAGTTCAATTAGGAATGCATGAATTAACTGTCCACGTGTCCTGAATTGCGATGAGCTAAAACAACCGATTTCACAACACTATAAAAGCAAGTGTTGTTCTGAATGACTTGACACACTGTATCAGAGAAAATGCCACAGTTATAAGTTAAAAAATTACCAGAGTACCAAGTATGCTTCAAACCTTCATGAACTGCCCAAGTTTGTCGAGCGTAGCTACATAAACCCTCCCATTTTATCCAGGTTTGGGGCCTGCTTACAAGTGGTTTTCATGTGTTTCAGATATTAAAGGTTTACCAGTTTTGTCCAGCAGGTGACAGCAAAGGACTGCATTGTTCATTTCAGCAAATTCAACTGGACTGAGTACAAGATTTGGTTCCTCTCTTTAGGACTTGTCATTTAATCACCAATATGTAATGACTTAGATTCTACTGTTGAAGGAAACTTAAACAGAAATAAAAAAAAAATTTGATTGATATGAATATACTAGAACACCCAGGGAGTGAAATTAAGCTGTTGGGTACTCATTTTGCTATATTACCTGTTGACAGATGCATGTTACACTGTCTCACAAATTTATACACAACTTGTTCAGTGTAAAACAGGAACATCTGTTTACATATTTGTGCCTACAGTAAGTTACAATATCTCTTACTGCTTCTGCTGTTATAACATGGACGCTTCAGGTCGCCAACAGCATCAGCAGCTTCATATGTGGAAGCGTCATCAAGTGGCTGCAGAGATTCTACATCTCAGGCTTTTTAAGAGCATTGAGTGCAACCTGAAAGTACCAATGACTAGTTCTCCTCCTTCTTCCTCCTCCTCTTTGAATGCAACTAATGACAGTTGACGATACAGTTTCTTTTTAGGATGAAAATATAAAACTCATGTTCTTTATTTGTTGTATATAGATTGATGTACACCACTGAAAATTTGGATAAACGCACACACACAAAAAGCTTATGTATGTAGGGTCTCAACACATCTGGAGGTGAAAAACAAAACAGAAAAGATGTTGGATTACAAACAGATTTTAAGAAACTATCCAAATTCTATATGGTTTCTCATTGACACGTGTTGAGGACTGCGCCACATACCGAAGGTCTGCAGTTGCTAATAACCTCTGTATTCTGTACACTGTGTATTTTGTACAAAATATGAAATCTACCATTTAATAATAGTTATAACATAAAAGTACATTATATGTACAGCATCAGATGGAGCCATTTAGTATGAAATTTATACTAAAGGACACTTGTAATAATCAAAGCTTATATAAAATGAAGAGAGCTCCAAAGAAGCCAATATTAAAGCCATTTCAAAAAGAACAACAGTCACCAATGGGACACTAACACTGTGCTCCAGCAGAAACACATGACGACCCAGGCAACCAACAATCTAAGGAAGCAGATTACTGAAGAGGTGGGATCACCTTTCTTTCATCTAATTCACTAATACCAAGGGGTAGAGGGGGATGAGGTTTGTAATAAAAGCCTTTGGTGAATGTTGTTCTTCAAGATAAACATGGAGAGAACAGAACAACATGACTGCAGTATTATTTACAATTTGCACATTCAGTTGAAACACTGACAACAGGTTGTTCAGGGAAATGAAGAATAAAACATAAAAAAAAACCAAACAAAAAAAAACTTGCAAGCATCCAGAAGCAGATCAAACCAATTACCAAATAACGCGTTCTACAGGGCAACTAGAGGAGTGGGCTACAGCCAGTGTGCAGGTCTGGGAAGAGGGGGGGGGGGTCAGACAATGACAGTGGGTGTACAGAGTGGACATGTTAACATTGGAGGTGATTTCCTCTCCTGTGGAGGCTGATTCTAACGGACATGCACCCAGGGGAGGTGATCCCACACGCAGAGACAGACGGCATCACAGATTTTAATTCTAACTAGCTTTTTTTTTTCTTCTTTTCAAGTTTTATCAGGAAGTGCTTCACTGCTGAAGTGGTCTGGTGTGACCACTCGGCTCCTCCTCTCTAGCTTTTGACTGCAAAATTGACTTTGTAGCTTAAACAACACATGTGCTGGAGTCCAAAACGGCTGGAGGTGTGCTGAGCACGGACTTGAATGCAGCTTCTTTTATGGAAACATTACAATTTTTAAATGATGTGGCATTTTTGTTCATGCTACTAATTCATCAGGTCTCAGTTGAACAAATATCCCTTCCGACTATAAAAGGCACTGTGAAAAGAAAGGCTTATGTTTGACTTCTTCAGACCAAACATACCTCATCTACTGTATGACAGTCTCATCTCTAACAAGGGTGTTATAAATAAAAAGGGTCTTCCTTGAGAAGAGTAGAAAAAGTGGCCACTGTCAGCACAGTATCTGCTCCTACTGGACTTCTCTCAACACACAGTAACTCTGTGTGAATCCCAGACAAGCAACTACATCTCTCTAACCTCTCAAAGCTGGCATGAATGACACCGACTTGTACTGAACACACTAATGGCCACTCTGGGAGTGAATGACAAAACAAAAATCAATCCCACAATCCCATCTTGTGTAACTGGTGCACCAAACCAGGCTCATGCTGGACTCATCCCAACACCCATTCAAATGGCTCAAAGTCATCTGACAATTGTTGGAGCCACAGACACACGTTGCAACTCTGATGATGCTGTGCAGAGAACAGAAAGCTTTTATTTCATACACACTCTGCTGGCGTGTCCTCAATAACAGTGTCCTAATTAACAGAATGATCAATGGATCTTCACAGCTGATGGAAAATGAACTGAATAAAATAGCAAGCTCCAAACAGAACAGTCACACAGATAGGAACTGTGTTTTACTCTGAGAAAAGACCCTAATATACTATGTAGAAAAAAATATAAACAACTGTCTAGTTAAAATGTTATGAGAAAAATAGCTAATATTAAATATATAGAAACAACTGACATTTTCTCATCTGATTTTTTTTTAATTAAACCAAAGAAGTCCAGTTGGGGGCTCATATTATTTGTACAAGCACCTGACATCAATAAAGAGGCAAGAAGAGAAGCAACCCACTTGCACGGACACACACACACACACACACACACACACACAGAACAGAACACCTGAGAGAAATGACCAGAAGGGGGCAGCACAGCACCCCAAAAACGCAACAAGCTGAGAAGACAGGAAAAGAGGAAAACAAGGGAGAAAAAGGGGAAATGACACTATAGTATCTTGGGTGAAGTTGGTGGTGCATGTTGTGGTCATGCAGGACCGTCCAGCTCTGCAAACGACCCTGCTGGACAACAACCAGGTGACGAAAAGAGGAGAAGGAATGGGATCAGAAAGGACCGAGCACCGTTTGTCCTGATAAGCCGAACCAGGCTTAGAACTGCGACTTTAGACACGTTCTGTGTCAGATGAAGCTGGAATTGTTCAGTCCTGTGTTGTGAAGGGCTGGACTAAGACAGAGATCTGTTGTTGTGCTGGTCTTTGTAGGCCTGTGGTATCTGTGGATGATGCTGCTGCTGGTTTATGGCGCGTCTCAGGTGGTCTCTTAGTGGCCGTCGTGCGTTGTCAACATTTCCTCGGCTCTCCGGTGCAACTCCAAGGCTGTGACAGTGGAGATGTCCTTGGGGAGCTCCGATTTCCTTCGAAACAATGGGCGCTCTCTACGCTGTTCTTTTTGGATCTGGACATGTGGAGACAGTGGGACAGGGAGGCATCTGTAACACTGATACACAGCCCACTCTACCTCACAGGCATTTAACTTTGACATAGCAGTCATTTTTCTACCTCTGAAAACAAATCCAAACCAAAAACACACATTCCTTACCTGTGTGGCTTCCTCCTCTACTGCTTTCTTTAGCATGTTGACATCATCTAGCAGCGGCCCATCTGTGTCCATGTCCATCGGACTGCCTGAGCCTACTGAGTCAACGTACACTAGAAACTGTACAGAGAGGAGAAGAGAAGAAGAACCACATTACAGACTGCCTTTGATTTCCCACTGAAACTTGCAAAGTACTAACTTAGGTACAGTACGACTTCTCTGGTGTGTGTGTGTATCTATGGTGAACTTTATAAAAGGCTTAGCTTTCAAATTCAGTCAAGAAGCTGCCCTCTAGTGCCACCACACACAAAGTTTGCTCATTTATCCAGTTCAACTTATTTATGTTACACTGGTGCATGGTTCATACTCAAAGAATGTGACTGGACAAGCACACCTGAAGCACTTGTACCAGATTGAGAGTTCACTGTAATCAGAAAAAATAACATTGCGGCACAAGATTATGCAATAATGAAATTTGACAGACTGCAGACGGTGAGATTCTGTAGCATTAATAGACGTGCTGCGTTAAAGTGTCTTTCCTCACCTGAGGGTTTGACTTTGCTATATTCTCAATCTTCAACCATGCTTCTTCTCTCTCTTTCCATTTAGCTTTCTCTCTGACACATTAAACAGAACAGACAGAAGCATTAGAGATTGTGTTGAAACATTTTATAATAGAAACACTGATGTCACAAATCCTTTGTGCTTAAGCATTTCAGGAGTTTGTGGTTAGTTTACTTATCCACTTACTCATTTTCCCATTGCTAATGATGTTTATAAGATGTTTGTAACACTGTAATAAGATGGAGAGCTATAGCTGTGCTGGATTTTCGAACGTGATGTCTAGCTTATGACTTACTTGCTTTTCTCTGCCCTATACTGTTGGGTGCAATCATCAAACAGCTTCTGGTTCATCTCCATAAAGAGTTTCAGAGCATTGTAGATCAACCCGTGGATGGTCCTGCAGACACACAAACATCACGAGGGGGTCACTTGATTTACATACTGTCATCACAAACCACCATCAGACAAACAACCCGACAGATGGAAGGTGAAGCCAGTGTAGTGACTCACTTGTTCCAGTGGGTCTTGGAGTTGTGGTAGAGGGCTGGGAACATAATTGGCAGGATCTTGGCAGCATTGTCACTGATCAGGCTCATGATGTACTCATTGTTCCAGTAGTACAACGCGCGCTCTGCAACCTGATGGCAAATTAGTTTATGACAGGGTTACATATGTACACAGAAACAGGAAGAAGAAAATGTATCCTAATTACCTCCACATTTAAAAAAAATAAAAAATAAAACCATGCTAAAATGCACATCAAGTGTAGCAGAATTAATGTCAGACCTGAAAGTGTGGGCTGGACACACATTTGGCCAGCTGTCTGAAGAGTGGCTCCATGACTTTGACAAACTCTGAAGGCTCAATGACGTCCAGGATCTCCTCCAGTTCATTGAGGAACATCACCTCTTTTGGACTGTGGGTCTTTGGCCAATACTTTAACAAAGCCATCACTGTCTGCATGCACACAGGACCAATAGGCTTTTGTTAAAGAACAACAACATTTGGCCAGCTGATTGGTCCCAGTAATAATTGGTAATGAAGGACTACCATTTCAATAAGTCCAATTACACATCACACACACAGTTGGCATCACAACACAGATAAAGCACAGACAGCTGTGAATATATTTTGTTTGTATTTGTCATCCAGCACTGAGGACCTCCACTAAAATCAGATTAAGTTAGTTTTCCTATTGTTCCAAAAATTACACAGGAAGTGTAACAACCAGATGGAAAGTGGCCTACATCTCGCTTTCTCTCGACCTGAATCATTATTAATCAAAAATCATTTAACTGCATTTTCTCTGTTCTTGACATAATGCAGGATTACTTGTCATATTTTCAGTAGCCAACCAAAAATCCTGTTCACGAATACCTGACAAACCATATTAGAACTTTACATGCTAATTAAATGAACGAATAAAAACAAGAATTTGGCAATGGACTTACTGAGCTCAGAGGATTTTTATCTTAATCAGAAAAGATACTCTATAATAATTCATTCAACAATATTAATGACAGCATTAAAAAAAAAGATCTGATCTTACCGGTTCTGTGAGGGTGCTATCCTTCTCTAAGAACTGTACCACACAGTAGGCCAGCTGAGGGAAAAAGACAACTTAACATTCCCACTTCTAACAACTACAATAAACACTGATTTTACAATGTATTGTTCACGGCCCAACAAAGCACAATGCTACATTAACAAAGCAGTCACCTGTGGGTGATATACACTAAGAGACTTGACTTTGTGCAAGGGCAGCAGGACTTTCAGTAGGAATATCTTGTGCTCTTCTTTCAGTGGCAATGCAAATCCATTGATTATGCTGTAAAGATAAATGTGGTCATCAGACTCAAACTAATTCAAGAAACATCTGGATAGACAAAAGCTATAAATGCATGGATCATTATAACTGTTAGTGCAAAGCAAGACTGCACTCAGCAGCCAACATCTATCAGCGTACCTCCCAAAACTATCTTACCTGCCTAATATTTCCAGTAACTCTGCTATTCCATTATGATGTTCCGTCTCGTAAATGAAGCTGAAAAATAAGCGGAAATATGTGGGTTGATCATGGTGCCTCATTTAACAGAATACGCTCCATTACTCACAAAAACAACACAAGTACCACTAATAAATCTAATTCAAATACTCACTCACCTATAAAATATGTTATTAATCTGTTTCCTAATGTACGCTCGCAGGCCCAGGAACTTGCCATAGATGCGATGCAGAGTGGTCTTTAAAAAATCTCTTTCTCTGGGGTCTTCACTGTCAAACAGGTCTAAGAGCTGTGCACAAAAATAGTTACTGAGAGACTGATCAGCTCGATTCAATTCAGTACCAAATAGAGACCAGTAGAAAAATAAGCTCCAACATTATGAAATTACATTCAAATGCACATTATTATTATTATTATTATTATTATGTGCTCACCTGCATTACAAACCTCTGGTCAATATACTTTTTGGCTATATTTGGTTGAAAGTCTGGTGATTCTAAGAACCGTAGGAAGAATTCATAGACGATCTGCAGAGGAGAAGCAAAAGGTTAAACAAGTAACAGGTGATTGGATTTATTAGTTATCAGTTCACAGTGAATAAGGCAACTTGTGTGTGTGTGTGTGTGTGTGTGGTGTGCTGTGAACCTGTAGATGTGGCCATGCAGCCTCTAGCGTAGGCTCGTCTTCCTCTGGGTCAAACTCAGCACCTGTGGGGTTGGATGATGGCGGCAAAGTCCTAAACATATTCACAGAAAACTGAGGGGAACACACACACACACACACACACACACACACAGAAAGTAGGATAGCTCAACAATCCACTATAGATCAGTTAAGACTTGGGATTCATGACGCCATCATCAAATCTGTTCATTGTACAACACGTTACATAATGTTAACCAGGAATCACTGGGCAACAAGAAGTCTTTTACACTCTGGTATCCAAAGGCTGAATATGGCTGAAGATTAGAAGAAAAGTTAATCCATTTGACTATGCTTACTTTAATTGCACATGGAGATCGTCATACATCTTCAGTCCTGCTTTAGCCCCTTATTAAAAACCAATAGTGGAGAGTGGTTTACTGATTAAAGGCAATTAAAGAAATTCAGACACCGGATGTCTATATATGAAATTTAATTTTGCTGGTTGATACTAAAGCATCTCAAACTTTAGCCTGACTTGTCAATAAGCGCTGGTGAAAACACTGTATCAGGTGTGAAGAAGTCCGTTTCTACAGCGGTGGTTAATGGCTTCTTCCTCACACCAGATGCTTCTCAGCTGACTGAGCATCATTAATGTGTGTTTAGTAAGCTCATTTCTTTTTACCCACACTGTGTGTAGACCTACATGTGACGGTTTAGTGAAAAGAATAACAGCTGCTATTGCCAAACTCAGGTAAACATTAGCTCTGGCTGTGAAGTTTGTCTAATCTACCTGCTGCTGTGACTACCAGTGGCTGAACGTTTGCTAATGAAACTGATGGGGGAATTCTGAAGATCACCAATCACAGTATTTGACAAGCAAAAAAGGCTGATTTATAATCAGTAACTTATCTCACAATATTACAGCAAATAATCAATGGGTTGCAGGGCGAACGACTGTCAATGAAGCAACCTCTGTCGAGCAGCCTTTCTGGCTATTTTACTGCAGAGACCACAGTAAAAATACATGTTCTGTAGCCTATATAAACTGGTTTATCACCACATTTTACTTTGGGGAACTATTCAACTAAAAATGAGATCTGACTAATCTTTTTCCAATACTCTACATCATCTGAAACTTCCTCATCCCACAAGGTAACATTCAACAAATCTGTCTTCAAAATGTTTAATGAGAAAAGTTATTTAAGAATGAAAATGTGGATTGATGGTTGAATATTCCACTTTGTGGTGGTATGAGACAAGAGTTCATCTCCCGGTCAGTACCATTCCCCACACTGGGTAGCATCCATCTCTTTTCACTCTCCAGCCAACAAACGTAGCCCCTCCAGGGTGCAGTCGACTAGAGGTCAGAACACGCTCACTCGCCACCATGTTTATATTCTTAGCAGCAGCCATTTCTTACTTCCCCCTAGAGAACAGGACTGATGGATCAACCAGTGTCATGTCATCCAAAAGTCTGCTAAAATATTGTTCTACAGCTTCAACACTTAGACATCAAACATGCCCTGAAAGACCACAGGCCATGGGAGAAAATAACATGTACAGCCTTAACATGAGAATACACTCTTTACGGCTATAAAGGAGTGTGTTTGTGTCAATCTCCACACTTTGATGATGAAAGCCGTCAGTGGACTTCAGAGAGTCCTTGTCTTTAAGGGGCTGCCAGGAATAAGAGTATATTTTCATGCTGATTTGGCAGCTCCGTTGCCTTTTCTGCTACACTGATCAAATAAAGCCAGGACAAGGAGGATGGGGGAAATTTGCACCTTGATCATCTGCAGTTTACCATGTAGTATTGAGGCAGGGCTTTGATTAACATCAAAGACCTTTTAATTTGGCTTGGGAAAGCAAACCTGGCACCATGAACGCATCCATGCCACAACCTGAGAGGAACACATTTCTAATGAATATAAAGGAGGAGCTCAATGACCGTCACGCTGACTACAGTTTAAACGAACAGGTACAGGCAGAGGTAGGAGCTATAGATGATTTTAGCTTTAGTGATCTCACAGTGACTTGTTCATGACAGTTTCCTATGACATACTAACTAAATGGGTCTGAAACCAGGAAGTACTGCAGGCAGTAGAAACCACAGTGTTCTCTTCCCATGGTGCAAAAATAAAACACGTGCAGATCAGAGGTCAGTGAAATATGAATACAAGAACATGACTCGTCAAGGTTACACATATTTACTAATATTCACAAGCATCCCTTATGGGACTTCACCAACAACAACAAGAGAAAACCCTTCTCACCTCAGTGAGACATCACAACTCATGAATATGTGACAGTGATTAAATGTAAAGTGAACATTTTTAAACTTTAGGCAGACAGACACCAAAAAGACACCTTTTATGGAGCTTAATAATATAGGCTTATTAAATAAAATAGGCTTATGGCTGCAGAATAACATCACTAGGCAATGTAAGCCAATGTTATCCACAACAGTGGTTGCCAACTGACCAATTTAAATGAGAAAAGGCATTTGTTGAAAATGTTCTTAAATAACAGGAACTTCAGATAAAAATATTCTCTTCTATGCACATTATAGTACTATTTGACACTGTTTTAGATGCAATGATACAATTAAAAACACAAAACTAGTAGCCTATGCACGCTAGTATGAATACTATGCATGCTAGTACCCAAGTATGTGTACATGAGTCAAATCTGTAAAGCCAAATGGATTCTGTTTAAACTAAAGGTTTAGAGGAATTTTGGCGTTCACAATTTATAAGACAAACCAAGGCTTCACTTTACATAAATAAAGCTGCTTGTAATCAGACTGCAAAGTCTGGTCTTGGAGTATTAAAGCCAAAATATAGGTCCATCAGGCTCATCTGCATCCAGACATAAATCAGAGGGGAAAGGTATGTTGCCGTTTCCCACCAAAAATAAACATACCTATCCTGTGATTATTCATGTAAATTAGCTGTTTTAAAGCACACTGCCTCTTATTTAAGGGTATTGCACAGGGTTTATACAGTCCTGTGAAAAAATTAGGACACCCTTTGAAAGGATGTGTATTTTGTAACATGTTTTAATATATGGTTATTTAATCTCAATTTTAACAATACAGAGAGATTAAAGTAATACAACTAAACAAGTAAAACTGAAGAAAAGTCTTTTCAAGATCTTCTGTAAATGTAATTCTACAAAAATGCCTATTCTAACTGAGGAAAAAGATAGCACACCCTCTTGGCAGACTGGCCTTGAGCTGTTGGCTACATCTTGTGGAGAAAAGTGTGTACTGTAAGGAACTACTTTATGAAATTCATTTTATAGGATTGACAAGTTTAAGGCATCTGCTGCCATATTGCTTCAGTCACAGCAAAATGACAAAATCATTTTGGTTGGAACATGTTTAATGTTGCAAAAAGGCTCATGCCATGTTATAAGGTGCAGTAGCTTATGCCAATTTAAACTTCCTCAGTTCAAGTGCAAACTCAGCAAAATGCCAATCAAAGTGCTTTAAGAATCCATTTGTGGTCTAATCAGTCTCTCAAAAGAGGGAAGTTTGGACCATTTGTTTTAAGTGCTTTTTAAAGCTTAAACACAACAAATCACTAACTTCTACAGTCTACTACTCAGAAGAACATAGTTTGAACTTCTTTCCATAGGCTCCTACAGAGCACCATGTAGTTGCAAACAAACACTAAAAGCAAGACAACGTATACCACGTAAAGAGACCTGTACCTGCACTCCAGAGATCTAGAGAGGTAATAAATTACAGTACCTCTAATTCTTCAATGTCTCAATATCACAGAAAGGTATTGCCATGAACTAAAGCAACAGTGCACATTTAAAACCATTTGATATTACATTGTACGTAATGGTAATCTAACCACGGAAATGGAGTCAGGAGTGCCACCTCATGTGTCTACATGTTTTTCTTTCCTTCGAATGCTTTTGCGATGCATTGTGATGATTAACCAGTCTTTGATTATTAAGTTGAAGAAGCCAATTGTTGGATGGAGTTGGATGACTGATGTCCTGCCTTGGGAGACCTTGGGGTTGGCAGAGTAGCACAACATTCATTTGTTCCTCTTCCTGGAATGGCCGAGTCAAAGTCCAGACCTGAATCCCATTGAGATGCTGTGGGGTGACTTGAAAAGGGCTGTACATGCAAGAAACCCCTCAAACATCTCACAGCTGAAACAATTCTGCATTGAGGAGTGGGATAAAATTCCCTCAGACCGATGTCAGAGACTATTAGATGGCTACAAGAACCGTCTCACTGCAGTTATTTCAGCCAAAGGAGGTAACACTAGCTATTAGGGGCTAGGGTGTGCTAACTTTTTCCTCAGTTGGAATAGGCATTTTTGTAGAATTACATTTACAGAAGATCTTGAAAAGACTTTTCTTCAGTTTTACTTGTTTAGTTGTATTACTTTAATCTCTCTGTATTGTTAAAATTGAGATTAAATAACCATATATTAAAACATGTTACAAAATACACATGCTTTTAAAGGGTGTCCTAATTTTTTCACAAGACTGTATATAACTGAAGGTAAAGTACAAATATTAATTATAACCATAAATCACAAAACTATACTCAAGTCTCACAACAGCTGTCCATGTTTTGACCATAAAACATCCCTTATAAGAGCAGCTCCATTTTTATTGTAGCTTCTACTCACTTATTGGACACACACCAACCTTTTAACAATTGCCTAACATCCATAGTGTTTCTGCACAAAAGAGAGAAATACCAGCCTAAGGCCACATTGTGAAGGAAATGAAAACAAGAGCAACTGCACTGCCTTACAGTATATAAAGGGATACACTGAATTGAATAATGTGCAGTACTCAGTCTAAGAAAATATGTTCACTTTGCAAACTATTGGATAATGTAAATTATTACATTTGTGTTAGGAAGCATATGATATCTATAAACTCATTTTATAAACATTCTCTGGCTATTAACTTTAATCAGTGTGAACGCTAATGACAAATCCAAGTTATTAGTCCATTCTGTTTAAACACTGACCATATGAACCACCTCTGGGTAGATGGGTTCCGTGATGACGTTCCTATTGTGGGTGATGTACTCCACCATCTCACTCAGCGCTGCCCGTTTAACCTCCTTCCATTTGAGATCACTCAGTGGGTCTGAGACAAAATCAAAAAGGACGCAGCACTGCCGCAACTTCTGGATGAACAACTTCTCCTGCTCTGCAGGGGGAACATCTATGAAACAGACATGGGAGGAAGTTTGATATTAACAGGTTTGCCACTGTGAGTAAACAGTACCAAACTCTAACCCAACACTCTGATCAAGTGTTATGTTTTATCCTATTATCATAACCATGAATAAAAGTATTTGGCTCAGAGCAGTAAGGGGACTGTTGCTTAGACCACCCATTAAGGACAAGTCATTCCAACATTTCTACTTCAATAAAAGTGAACTAAAGCCAGAGCAAATGATGCAGGAAAAAAACAAATATTTGGTATAAAAGGTGGGTCACAGAGAAGTGGCCAAAAAAGTAGCTGAAAGTTTTTTATAAAAACACAAGTATGATCTTAATCTCTGTTATATTGGTGGCAGTAATGACTTTCACGCTTCAAAGCCTTGTTACCATGGTAACCATTGTCCAAAAAAAAATTTCCCGCAGTCCCCGGTCTAGACATCGGTGATGATTTGCACCAAAGCTTCAAGAGTTATTCAGGTTTAGTACAATTATATTCTGCTATTGTGGAGTTCATGTGGTGACATGCAGAGACGTCATAAATCCGTTATTAAGCCTTTCAGAGACAGTGTCACCACTTCAGGGTTGCAGAGGCTCTAAATCAGCCTTGAGGAATTACAGAGCCACACCTGTCTGTGTATAATCATTAACGTGTAATTTTAAAAAATCATTACACATTTTTCTAGGTACTGCATACTCCCCGTCAGTAACCAACCTCCATTCTGTGCCAGCATGTACACATTACCACCATACAACAGCTGCCCTAAGTAACTCATTGAGGAGCATCATAAATGAAAACACTTTCACCACAATATGCCATCAATCATTTAAATTTACTATATTGGGCCTGCAACAACTAATCGCTAAAGATCGATAATAAAAATTGTTGGCAATCTGCACGTGCACTGTTCATAACCATGGTAACACATGCAGGTACAGCACAGCACTAATCAGAGATGCATGCAGGCTGCTGGTGCCTTGGAATCATATGCAGCTGATTAGCTGTGCCCATCAGCTGCACTCAGGAGGCATGTCAGACAAAGTGACCTTGTAAAACACAGAGAATACCAACTGGTAGCAAAGCAAATAAACTCCACCACATAAGCTAAAAAAATAAAATCAAAAATTGTACTTCCTCATAGCCCAAGATGACGTTGGCAAATATCATGCTTTGTCTAACCAACAGTCCAAAACCCAAAGATATTCAGTTTAATATTATGTAAGACAAGGAAAACCATCAAATCCTCTCCTTTGAGAGGCTGGAACCAAGAAATATTTCTGAATTTTCACTTAGAAATTACCAAATGATTTTCTTATTAATAAACGTTCCCAACTGATCAATCACTGCAGCTGTAGAAACAAGAAACTAACAGACTCGTATATATATTTAGTTTTCAAACATTAGGCAGTACATTGTTGTGACAACAAATTCACACAGGACAGACAAAGATGATCCTACAAAACACAGCCTAAAACTAAACTTCAAAAACATAAAAAGCTAATAAATAAGGTAATTTAGCAAATGACCCTACTAAACCAATCAAAACTGTCCCAACATATAAGTGTGCCAAATAAAGACAAACTGTAATCTGTAGTCTTACAGAAACCTGCAATGACACTGATCAGCTTGTGGATGTCTTAAGTTACACTAACTTCACATTGCATACAAAACACAAAGAGCCAATATCAGAAAGAAACTAATAGTGTCAGTGTTTGGACAGCACAGTCATGTGAAGCTAAGATTACAGAGAAGTGGTGTGTTCAGGTATTTCCTTTTCAGTAGCTGCATTGCTACATTTTATACTGATAAAAAGACGGTTGTGTCAATTGAAAGCACACTCCACACAATCTCACATAACCACAACAGAAGAAGGTACATGTTTACCACAAACACAAACAGAAGTTTTAAAGAAAAACCCTCCATACTGTATATGAACCTACAAAGCAATTATAAATGTTCTATCAGTACCGACAGTCTCAATATAAAATCACTCGCTTATACTTAGCACTAGTGGAATAACTTCATTTTAATAGATTCAGTAGGTTGCACACCCATACAGAGACGAACCTCATGAACCTGAGACTAACATCACCATCAGACGGACTTTCCATACACCTCCATGTGAGTGAGCCACAGTAGCAGTGCAGCTGGCATTCAACACACATGAAATGCAGCTACCAGTAAATCAAATATTTTTGTCTACGTATTGATGTCGTGAGCCAAATAAAATGAGTGTGCATCAGCCTTTAGGGCTAGTGCAGTAAAGTACCGTGGAACAAGGAGTCAACCCACCTGATTACAAAACAAGTGTGAGTCTGTATTCAGACAATGTAGAATATTAACAGGACTGTAAGTAACATTATACTTCATTATACTTCACTCCCCCTATCCAAACAACTGGCCACAAACAGGATCTAATCAACTGCATCAAAGGTCAAACTGTTGGCCATTTGTTTCACCCCTGAGCTTAAAATACCTCACCCATGGAGAATATGTTTTCTGCACTTTAAGTAAGGCACGGTGAAGAATATACACTGGTTTTTACAAGCTGCCATGGTAAACTATGAAGCTGTTCTGAACCTTATACATTTGCTGTTGAAAACTGTGCTGTCACTTTTGTGTCCATTACTGTACTATTGTTCATCCCGTTTCTTCTTTAGCACAAACATACCTATAAAAATTCTTTAGCTCTTCTTGACACTGGGCAAGAAAACTCTTCAAGCTCTTCGAGCTATTCCAATAAATACATATTAAAAATATAAAAACATAAAAATAAAGATATCTTTTTGCTACTAACAAAGGAAAGTTTATTTTTAGACGTTTTTAAGTTTAATGCTAATCATCTGTATGTAATTAAGGTGTGACAAGTGGGATCCACCCACAAGCGCCTTGTCTCATCAGTCCCTGAGTACCAACGGGGTACCATGCTTCTGTTACACAACAGCACTAGGGTTTCTGAACAGGCGTAAAATATTAAGAGGCATGCTGTGTAGCTGCAGACTTCACAAACAAGCCTCTCTGCATGGATGGGCAAATAACCTTTACCCATCTAATGGCTCCAGCATGCACACAGGAAACGAGTCATGGATGCAAATTGCTCCAAAGCACAAATTTCCAATCCTACAATGTGTATTAGGGAATATATAATGAACTCATTAATAAACTGGCACCAGCTGAAAATACCGTCATACTCTGTGTCAAAGCGCCTCATGCCATTGGTCACAACATGAGACCAATTCAGATCATAGTGGGGATACAGCAACAACAAGCAGAGTATTTCTAATTACACGTGCATCCACTGACACCAGATACCCATATACAATACAGACAGCCAGACACAAACTGACAACAAGGTTTGACCTCACTTCCTATGACATCAGCTGTCCTGTTGGGGGATGGGAGATTTAAAACTAGCACTCCTAATCACTCTCTTGCCCTGCCTCCACAATTGGAGCTAAGCTATGCAATATCTTGGCAAAATCTGCCTTGTTGACAAACAAACACAATACCCTTGCTTCCTCTTCCAAAAAAGCTCATGCCATCAACAGTAAGATCAGAAGATCTAAAGTCTCTTGCAGTAACTTTTAGAAAACTTATCTGCCAAAAATATTTTCTTGTACAGAATTACACATTAGTAGCTGCAGTTGCCAAATGACAACAATATTCTTCCCCATCTCCCCCTGAGACACACAAACACAGAGGAGCAGAAGAGGTAAACTTCCTATTCTCACCTCTAAAATGCATGAGGGCCACAGGCTGGAAAGGCCCATTGGAGCTCGATGCATCCAGAACCATCCCACTGGCAGCTCTAGGACATGCCAACATCAGTGAGCTGAGGTGGGAGACGGGGGAGAAGAGGGCAGCCCAGGCTAGGGCGAGGAGCCAGCCTCCATTTTAGCACGAACACTCGAAGCAGAAAATGAAGCTCCCCTGCTGCTGGAGGGAACCAGCTAGTTAGTGATGTCATCCCCCACAGCCGCAGCCTGGTTGGGTGGCTGCAGTCACATGGGCTGGTTGTCAGAATAAATAAACATGAGGGAAAGGATTGGCTGGTGGGCTGAGGGGGAAGGAAGTTGGACTGTTGCTGTGATTGAAGCGAGAGCAGCTACATCTGTCAAGAGTTTTAAAGCACAAACTACAGATTCAAATTCAGTTTAGCCTGTTTGGAGATTTAAATAAATACAACACAAAGGCCAAGGGATTTACATTTCTATCCATCATATATGCTACTTGTAAGAATCAGAGGAGTAAAGTGATACTTGTCATTCCTTGCTCACAGCCCAGCACTCAACAACAAATTCCAAAACCACAAATGACGTAAAAATGACAACCCTCAAAACCTATGCAAGATGTTCACTTCATTATAAATAACACGTGTACTGATAAGCATCAAGCATGAAAACCAAAGGGCAAGTTTAGACACGTTTCTTTCTTATTATAACACAGCTCCAATTTGTAACAGGAAAGGTAGAAAACCACAAACTGAGATTACAAGACAGAGACTATATGACACTGTTTGACAGATAAAAGCCCTTTGTACTTCTGCGACCAACCGTACATGTGTTATGACTTTGTGTTTCTGCATGACAGATGGCTCTCCAGGAGCCAAGCCTGAGCCCAGGTGCACAATGTGTGACAGAAACAGGAAGGCAGGAAGCTTCAATGTGAGCAACACAGGATGTGCATTTGCAGTGAGCAGCAGTCTGTCTCAGCAGCAGTGGGGACAAAACACCGCACTGTAAGACTGAACAGGAAAATGCATGTCTATCTATAGTGACGCAGACAGACAGACCCAATAAATAATACTCACAAATTAGGTGCAATTAAATGAGCCCTTCAAATACAGTTACAGTACATCAGTAAATAAGTCCTAACCATGTAACAAGACAATTCTTGCCAGTCAGGTATTATGTGCAAAAATCCTGCAATTGCTGCATTCTACTAATCTATGATGCCATGAATCAATGTGTATCCAACCATTGCACTTGCATCATTACACATACAATCACCAATACCCGCTATGTGTCACCATGCTGCAAGGATCACAGGCATGCACAAACACAAACAGCAGGCACAACGATTCAACGAATGGATCTTGTATCCCCAACTACTGAGCAAAACCATGCAAATCAAACACAGGGGGTGCATTAGCATTTTCAATTAGGAAAACATCCTTCAAAATTTTTAATATGCTGTTGTATCAGTTTTGGGTGGGCTATTCCAAGTGCCAACAAACTGAGAAACTAATTTAAAAAAAAAAAAAAAAAAGTAATTTCCTGTGCAAGGTAGCTTTGCTTACCCCATGAGGATTAGTGTTATATATACCCAGACCTGTACTAAAGACTGCTTGTGACAACTTTGTATAACATACTAGCGTTTAGTAAAGTACACATTCTGACAGTTGAAGAAAAAAATGTACACATCTAAACACATTCAAAACTATTTAATATTTCTGTGTAATATGCAAGACCATATGAAGTTACACTCTGTTGTATATAAAGCACATTGTCTTTTTACATGCCAAAAGGTACTATAAGGCAAGAGAATGTATCAATGGGTAAACATATTGATCTAGCCACCAAACAAATTAGCAGCACGCTAATCTGACTGGTCTTAATAGTGGGGTATTTTAGCAGAGGGGTCTAGTGCGAGTATATAAAGGGCTATTCTGTTCCCTAGTCATGGGGCAACATCGCATCTGAATATCTGTTGTCCTGCCTGAGACAAAATAATGCTATACATACAGCTACTTGTTACAGAGCCTCTCTAAATGCTCCTTTGGTACATGGATTCATCAGGCCTGAGCTTTTTACTGTGTGTCTTCTATTTCTGGCAGGAGAAAGAGAGTGAACTTGTGAGCCAGCATGAGTGTGCATCCTTGTTTTATAGCAGTGCTTTCTCTAAATACATAATTGATAGCAGGGTAGGCTAAAATATACAGGTGAGTGGTTCATTTACAGGTCTGCTGATTTTCAATGTCATGGTCATCTGTAATACATGCTGAAGGCTTAAAATCTATTTAGAGAAACAGGTCAATCATCACAGCTGAGGACACGAGCTCTTAACAGTAGCTGAACCTAATTTTCCTTTATGCAGCTTCCAAAGATAGAAACACGGCTCTGCCCGTATCCTAGAGCAATTTATTGGCTTACTCTAACAAAGTAACCTATTCAAATGAGAGAGGTCATGTTCATTGTGGCCACTCTGTATTATTTTCACATAAAGCATGAAAATGTGAAGGGGCAACAAATTCTTGGCTACATTTATTTTGGGACTCAGCATGTACAACATGTGTGATTGGCTAAGTGGAAACACCTGTGGCCGCATGACTGTAAACTGAATATGCTTAATAGAAATCTCCATAAAACTGTGTTACTTAACTGAAGAACCTTTTATCATAATTCTATCCAATTTGATTTTGTTGGGTGATAGCAAGTGAGCTATTGTGTGAATGAATACATTTTTTTAATACAACTATACTGAAGCCTGTTGTGGACACTAAATGAACTACCTCACCTGATCCAGAGTGAAATCTATTGTCCAGAAAAACTAGTGATTATAAAGACATCTGGACATTATACCAGACACTGTAGAATTTACATTCATCCTTATAGTTGGGATGCTGGATGTTATATTGGGTGTGACGCTGAAAGGCTTAATGATCGTTCAAACTGACAGTTATACTACTCTATACTACTCCTTACCATGTTGATATAAATTCTGTGGGTCATGCAGGACATATTTGCATTTGAATCACTCGATTACATCAATATTTGCGTTATTTACTGCTTTTTATTTAAGTAACAGAGGTTCTTTTAAAATAACCTGCATGAGAGCAGCGTCGTGCTAAACCTTTATAATGCATTTACTGCTTCAACACCGCTGGTGCATTCTGTTTGTTGTACGTGTGTGATTGTATTTTTATACAAGATGTCTGACCAGGGAAGTCTCATGAGATGTGAGAGTCTTTTGCTCTACAACCTGCAGGAGTAGAGGAAATCCTTCCCTAAAATCTACCTTGCCCTGTGCATCCTGTTTTAAGTATTTGCCAACCACATTAAAATATTTGCATGAGTTTCAGCTTCACTTCAAACTTCTCTATCCTATGAGGCTCTCAAACTTGTCAAAGATTTTACCTAGCTGTTGAAAACAGAGAACTTTACAAAAATGGAACCAACATTAGCATTCTTGTCCAGTAGATGATTAGTTAAATGACGTCACATCTGTAGTTTTAGTATTCATGTAACTGCAGGAGAAGCTTATTTGTTTTATCCTCCACTTCCCCTGGAGGAGAACACAAGCTGACAACTGAAGGCAGCTGCATATTTTAGTGGAATATCGGAAATATATCCTCATAATATAGTTAAAAAATAAACTAGCTGTCACTAATAAAGGAGTAAACATACACAAAAGATGCACAGTATTTCTCTGTGTACCCAGTACATAAGTAAAAAAAAAAAAAAAAATCCCCTTTAAGAGAGTTAAACATAATTTACTCCAAAATGTTGTAAACCCTATTATATAACTTATGTTACTGGCATGTTAAACTTTAACACAGACAATATGTCTTGATCTGCAAAAACAGTTAATGATTACAATCAGTATCTCTGTTTGTTTTACATTGATGGAATATCAGGGCTAGATTAGATCACTAGATTACAACATTATTAATCATTAAAATGTTTGTTCCAGTTAGCCAACATTACTGTAACTCAAATATTTAACCCTCTAGCCAGCAGATGGCAACAAACACTGTAAGAAAAATGCTTCACATAGCTCCTGCTTTGAAAGAGATCACATACAGAGGCAGCAACTGTCATACTGTGCTCTTTGGCAAGTGTGTTTAAAACACAAGGAAATAACAGACACCTGTAGAGCAGTTAGGCCCTGCTCACAAGCTGCAGTGAGAAAGCTCTCCTGAAAACATTTATCCAAAACACTGATTTCTTGATCTGTGTATTTTGCTTGAGCCTTATAAAAACACATTGGTCTTTCTCAGAAAGCATTTAAATCGCCACGCTATCAAATGCAAAAATCTGGACATTTAAACTGCACTCTGGAGTCACAACAAGCATGCATTGTTTTGGGGCGAGTTCATGGGAAAGGCCTGCTTCTGGTCAGGGTTTTCAGTATCGCCTCCACCTTGTGTCCCTGCAGGACAGGCTCATGGACATGTGTTCTTATCAGGAGGTGGTGAACATGCCTTGAAGGAAAACAGGCCAAGAGAGGAGGAGCCTGTTTAGACAGGACTGAGTGATAACATCTACCAGCCCACTGTGGGATAATGTTTTGCAGAATGTTATTAAAGCTCTAGTTGGGGAATTGGAAGTGAGCTGCTTTATCAGAAATTAAATTGTGCTTATTGGTTTCTTGAAACCGAATGAGCCTGATGGTTAACCGAGATGTAGGTATATTTTATGGTTTTTGAATTTCTTTGTGTGTCCAACTAATCTTATAGAAATGACTGAATGGTGAACAACTGGTGTCCAATAACTTAACTGCTGTCACCTTATGGTCACAGATAGTTACTCCATTCTGTCCTATTAGCCAAGTCTTCCAAAAAGAAAAAATAACATTTGTGAATTTTCCCTTAAGAGGAATGTGGCCTCTGCTCTACTTTGTTGAAGGGAAGAGCTCACAGAAAAGAGGGCATTTAGAAGTGCTGCAAAGAAAACCAAAACCAAGGCACTCATCTCTAAGAAAAAATAAACAAAACATTGCTCTCCTTATTTTGGCAGATAAAGTCAGTAAAAAAGATGTGTTCATTCATATGCTACAAGGTTGGAACGCACAAGACAAGCTCCTTACCTCTTGAAATGAGGTGTTTGTCTATCTTATGTTCTGACACACAGGCTATCATTTTTCAGATCACACAAGTACAGATACACTGCTAAGACTAGAGCTGCAACAACTAATTGATATAAAAAAAAATAGTTGGCAACCAATTTAATTATACATTAGTTCGGTCTAGTCACTTTGTGAGATGGCTGGATCAGTGACTGGATCAGAGAGGCATATCAAAACATTTGAAAAACCGCAGAAGTGGTAGTGAGCATGGTTACAGCACAGAAAAGTGAACAACAGAAGTCATCTGAAGTTTGCGAGCACTTTATTTCACAATCAGAAAGAAGACTGTCCAGTGCCAAATATGCTAACCCCATCTGCCATGGCAGGGGGGCATGACAATAATGCATTAAGGTAGCACCTAAAGAAAATGCACACTGGAGTTACAGAAGAAGGGGAGTCAGGAGCTAGGTAAGCCAATTACTTTATTTAATAACAAGAATTTATTAAACTAAAGTTATGATGTACCTAATTTGAAGTAACATTGCTTAACGATCTGTGGCTATGCAGCCAGCTGTGAGGCACCGCATTACATTTTGACCATGCTAGCCCTGTCAAACGTTAAAACCACCAGGTGGATTTAATGTTGTGACTGATCAGTCTATATTAAAAGCAATAAGCAAAACTAAGTTTTATAAGCGTGCTCAGGAACCCTGATGACAGATATGCAAGTTAATGTGGATTGTGCAGAGTAGATCGCCTAGGAGTAAATGTGTTCAGGATTGTTTAGACATACTCAAATGTACTTTTGTCAGCAGTAGCAGTCACTCTTTTTACATGCAGTCACTTTAATGCTCTATAGCCTTGCAGTCAACATGATAATGATGACACTGATGATGATTAGCCCATCATAATTCAGCTGAAGTATAAACCAATGAATTGCACACATGCTTTGCTTTTTGTACAAGTGATTTATTTGTAGAGCGTTTTCTTCTGAAGACGAATTTCTGCTCTTTGGCGATGTCTATGTGGTACTTCATGCACAGTTTAGCTCTCTCACTCGCCTGGCTAGTGCCAGCTCATTTTTGGGCTAACGTTACTAGTAGCCTACTACTGTCTATGCTCTGCAGATAAGCATTGGGATGACAGTACCACAGAGATTGTTAATGCCTGTCTACCATTTTGACAGTGAAAGCATCATTTGCACATAAGATGTTTATGTTTAATATATATTACATTATATATGTATGTATACACCCTATGCTAGTTACTGTTTACTTGCCCCTTGCCCTGTCTCCATTTTAAGTTCTCTGTTTTTATTAGGAATGCACCAAATATTCGGCCACCGAAACGTTTCGGCAGAAAATGGCCCAAAAGTGCATTTTCGGTTTTCGGCCGAAATGCTTTTATCGCCGAAACAATACGACCGAAACAATATGGCCGAAACGTTGTGATGACGCAAACAAACATGTTGTCTGAAGCAACATGTCTGCGGTGTGGACGTATTTCAGTATATCTGAGAAAGACCCACGGACAGCGATTTGCGAAACATGCAATGGCGAAATTTCATGAGGGGGTGCATCTGCAAAGACTTTCTCCACGTCAGCTTTAATTTATCACCTGAAGTCCAAACATTCCGATCGCTACCCTGAATATGAGAGGAACGCGGCACAGAAAAGGAAAACGCCTCCGAGCACGCCCACTCCGTCTGTGGCGGACGTTTTTGAAAAGGCAAGGAAGTTTCCCAGTGATGGTGTCAAGGCAAATGGCATTACACAAAAGATTACGGAATTCATTGCCTTAGATGATCAGCAATTCTCTGTCGTAGAATATGTGGGATTTCATATGCTGATCGAGCACATTCAGCCCCGTTATGTCATGCCGAGCAGACGACATTTCTGAAGTGTGTTTACCTGAGCTGTTTAATGTTGTTGCAACTCACGTCCATGAGCATATAGCTGCAGATATTTCAGCAATCAGTTTCACGACAGACATATGGAGCTCAGACGCCAGCATTACCAGTATACTCAGTCTAACCGCACAATGGATCGACGCTGATTTCCAGCTGCAAAAGATTCTGCTCCATTTACAAGAGTCACATACAGCAGCAGCCATTTCTGATGCATTCGCCAATATGTTCGACACCTGGCATATCGACCAATCTAAAGTGCATGTCATTGTCAGTGACAATGCAAGAAATATGACAAAAGCGATAGAAGACAGCCAGCTGAAGGGAATACGGTGCATGGCCCACACACTACATCTGGCTGTGAATGAGGGAGTGTTGTCTCAACGCAGCGTAAAAGACGTACTGGCTATAGGCAGAAGAATTGTTGGCCACTTTAAACATTCTCAGCTGGTCTATTCCCGCTTGCAGTCTATGCAAGATCAGTTTGGAACACCAATAAAGCCGAAAAAAAAAAAGATGCGTCTCTCTGCACCAGATGAGGGGCATGCACCCTCGTTGTTTGATATGTTCAGTGAAGTCCTGCAAGAAAGTGCCTCAAATAATAATAATTCTGTTCTTAGGCTACTATATATGTGACTATCAGATTGTAGCCATATTTCTGCTAGATATTTTTTTAATTTGATAAAAATGTTTATTTATGCACTGGCCCTATTTAAATACACTCTCTCAAATCTTTCTCAAATGTCAGGCAGATGACAAGCTCAACCACTCAACAGCTAGATGGTTATGTGTCTGAAGTCCCCATCCCCAGAAGTGATAACCCTCTTGCCTACTGGAGAAATAATCACTGCCGCTTTCCTGACCTGGCAAAGATGGCACGCAAGTACTTGTCTGCTCCGTGCACAAGCACAGACGGCGAGAGACTGTTCAGTGCAGCAGCTCATGTTCTCGATGAGAAGAGGAACAGACTTCACTGTGATAAAGCAGAGAAGTTACTCTTCATCAAGAAAAACCTGCCACTTTACCTCAAGAAGTAGAATGAGCTTATATTTATTATCCACTTTGCACATCTGCAATTCTTGGTGCATTTGTTGTTGTTAAAGTTCTACAGTTAACATGGGCTATGGCAGTCTTTGTTTTGATACACTATTATGTTGAAGGCCTACAGAGAAAATATTGTATCTTTAAGCAGTTGCACTTGTTCTGAATGCACTTTCTTGTAGTAGCCCTACAGAGAAAATTTAAAATGCACTTGACCTAAATGCACTTTGTTTTTATGAGAGAACATTTAATTTTACAACCTTTCAGCAGGCCTGTACATTATTATTTAATGTACACATGAGTGGGGTCAAGTTAAACATTTTAGTTTGAATTTTATTTTATATTGTGCATTGTTGCAATGTGCTACATAAATATTTGCATAATTTGTAATTGATTTATTCTTTGAAACTTTAATATTAATTTATGCAATTGCAATGCCTTGATTTTAGTAAAGTTAGTACACAGTCATAGCCATAAATGCAATGGTGGTATTAATAATTGTCATAATTTCTTTCGGTGTTTCGGTTTTCGGCCTTGGTTTCCTCTTTTTCAGTTTCGACCAAGAATTTTCATTTCGGTGCATCCCTAGTTTTTATTCTACCTCATTCCTATTATCTCATCTCAATGAGCATTTCCCTGGCTGGCTGCATTTTTTTTACTGCCTGTTTATACTGCTTAATTTTGCATCGTTTGCCCTAGTTGTTCCTTGTTAATACTGCCTATTTTTTGTTATACAGCCTTACGCTGGTCTACTGTTCACTTGTCTCTTGCATGGGGATATGTACATACACACAGAGCCGATGTACCAGAGTCAAATTCCTCGTGTGTCCGACACACATGGCCAATAAAGCAGATTCTGATTCTTTAAGTTGCATCCAGTGTGACATTTGGGGAAATAAAAAGTCAGTCACACCTTAAATAAATTTGGTGGCAAAATGAGACTGATCACTGATTAGATTGCATTCTGGAGACCAGGAATGATTTTTAGTTTTTTTTACTATGTGGAAAGTAGATTTCTCCATGTTTTTTATACATCAATTAATTTATTAATCAGAAATGACAGATTAGTCGATTATTAAAATAAGGTACAGCCTTGGTTAGGACAGCGCACAAGTGTATTAATGCACTTTTCCTAAAGTATACATAATATTCTATAATGCAATCATAGCCATTTGTTTTTAGTACACCATCAAGTTACAAGCAGAAAGCATCGTTGTGTGTATTCATGTTTGCATATGTGGAAATGTCCACAGACAAGAGGCCCAGAAGCCTATTGTCCACTCCTTGCTTTTCCATCTGGTTCACTGAGCTCAGACATAAAAGCAATACTGTCAATAAATAAAAGTTCTCAAAATTTCTTCTGCAAGGGGGAGAAAAGAAAAGAAATACTGATTTAGCTGCCTGACACTGATTATGGTCACAGGCAACATCCTGAAATACAAGGACTATGGAATTGAAGCTTTATCTGCAGATTACCACTAAATATAGAAAGTTGGGTTAAATCCAGCTCAAAGTTCATGCCATGTACATCTTCTGTTTGATGCCATGAATTGCATAATGTCATGCTCATAAATATGCTTAAGTAAGTAACTGAGGGTTGAGTCTGTGAAGCCTGTACTTATCTGTATGTCAGGAGTACAGGAAACTTGCATTTTAAATACAAGCAAGCAGTCCATGCATTTTTCCCCCCCCTGCCTGAAGAAACATTCTGTTCTATGATTAACTTCTGAGCTATGTCTTGAGTCTTAAAGTCCTGCTTCAAAACAACTTTAATTCATTATTTTTGCCAATAAAGAGGTGATTTATCTGCAATCTTTCAACTGAGTGCAAAACATTCAAGCTTGGAAACAGCAGCTCTACTCAGTGCCCTAATATGTGTGCATATGTATCTGAAAAAGCTCCACAAACTTACTGCACTTGGTGGTTAGTTCATTATGTGATTAGATTACATGATTGAGTTGTTGTGCAGGTAAATACCTTTGAAAGCAGGTAGTTTCTGCAGCTCTCTGTTGTTGCTCAAGCTGAAGCGAGAGGAACTCTGCCTTTTGTCCTTTTTGACAGGTGTCTGGGAACCTGGCTGCTTCCCTTTTATCAGCTGAGTGGTGGGAGGAACACTATTGCTAGGCTTCTTGTTAACACTCTGCCAAAACCAGAACAAAAACCCACATTAATGGCAATGACATAAGAGCATGCACATGCTAAACAGGGTGCACAGTGTGAACAGAGTGCCCCTTTAAGAATATACACTGTTTATCAAGACGGTGCCATCCATTATCAAATCAAATCAAATCAAATTAAATCAAATTTGATTTGTATAGCGCCAAATCACAACAAAAGTCATCTCAGGACACTTTACAAAGTAAGGTCTAGACCTTACTGTTATCAATATTATTACATAGGGAAAACCCAACAAATCCCCCTTGAGCAAGCACTTGGCGACAGTGGGGAGGAAAAACTCCCTTTAACGGAAGAAACCTCCGACAGACCCCGGCTCTTGGTGGGCGGCCTTCTGCCTCGACCGGTTGGGGTGAGTGGATAGAGGAGAGACAAAAGAAGAAAAGCAACAAGACACAACAATCAAACACTGATCAGGTCGATGTGGCCGGTGACTGCTCGTCAGAGACATAGAGCTCCAGGGCCAGGGCAACCTGCAGAAAGGTACAGGGAGAGAGAGAGGACACACTACGGGAGAGAGGAGACACAAAGTTAGTAATATGTAATGGTGGCATATAGAAGCATAGGAAGAGAGAGGGGAACGTCTTAAGTCTAATCTTAAAGGTAGAGAGGGTGTCCGCCTCCCGAACTGAGACTGGGAGTTGGTTTCATAGGAGAGGAGCTTGATAGCTAAAGGCTCTGCCTCTCATTCTGCTTCTGTGGACTCTAGGAACCACAAGTAAACCTGCACTCTGAGAGCGAAGTGCTCTGTTTGGATGATAAGGCTCTACGAGGTCTTTAAGATACGATGGAGCCTTGTCATTAAGGGCTTTGTATGTTAGGAGAAGGATTTTAAATTCTATTCTGAATTTTACAGGGAGCCAGTGGAGAGAAGCTAATATGTGAGAAATAAGATCTGTCTTGCTAGTTGCTGTTAGTACTCTGGCTGCAGCATTTTGGATTAGCTGGAGGCTTTTTAGGGAATTATTGTGACATCCTGATAGTAAAGAGTTACAGTAGTCCAGCCTGGAAGTAACAAATGCATGGACCAGTTTTTCAGCATCACTTTGAGACAGGATGCTCCTGATTTTTGCAATATTGCGCAGGTGATTATGTAACTGAAGTCATAAACCACACTTTACCCAATGAACAGACACTATATTTAACAGTACCATTATGTGGGAACTTTTCCAGTTCTCAAGAGAAAAACAAAATAAAACAAAAAACTATTGTGGTTATTACTCAACCAGCCACCCAGCTGTGTCTCAAAGGATTAAAAAACCCTAAAGGGTTTGTTAGGTTGCATATAGTCCTGATGTGAGATCAAATCAATATGGCAAGTTTCTCACAGCTGGTCCTGCCTGCTGGGATCCACTCATCAACACACTTTATGGCAGAGCTTCCTTCACCAAATGCAGCAGTAGAGCTGTGACAATCTGAGTCACAGGGGTTTGACCAAATTCATTTAAGACCCAGCTGAAGTTGGCCACACACTGCAGCACTACAAGAGAGGAGCTTATGAGCTGGGCCACTAGCAAGCTGTTGAGTAAAGTGGGAAATCAAACTAAGCTGGCTTCTATTATGAACTAGATTATATTTTCATGTAATACAAAGAAAAGAATTAACTCTTCAATTTGAAGTTGATTAAGCTACAGTAGAAACATCTGTCACATATGATTTTGTAATTTGCTGATTTGAAGGCACTTCCTCAAAGCTGCCCATTACCAACAGACAAAATAAAGCCTTCCTATATATTATACATACTCCCTTCACTTCCTGGAAGTAGAAGTATATGAGGCAAAAAGAAAGGAGAGGGAGGTAACAGCAACTCAGAGCCCATTGATTTTGATTTGACACAAGGTTGGTGCATTAGTCGATCTGCTGCATGGCTGCTGACTCACAACAGTGTGCAGTATTATCTCCCAGCAAAAGGAAAACAGGAGACTGAAAGCATAGCTTGAGAAATATGAATTCACAAGGTTGACAAGGAAATAACAGCAGGTGTGGTCTAGCAATAGACAACCAAAGTGAGGGTCCACTTAGGAGTAGATTATAGTTTTTTTTTTTCTTTATAGTATGTGGATTAGATACAGGTACAAGGGCACAAAATAGAGCCTAGAAATTAAAGTTGCAACAACATATATAGTAGGGCTATTGTGAGGGATTACACAATGTTGTTCAGATATTCCAGTAACCAAGTTACTATTCACCCTGTACTGTAATTTACATTAAATAACACGGAATCTCAACAATCTATTTTATAATGTGATGCAATAATTTTGCCATAGAACAAAGATTTCCCGACATGTAAAATACGTTATGGCTTTGAGGGTGTCATTTTGTATGGGACAAAACATCATCATGTACTGTACAGACTTGATTTGATTTGATTTGATTTATTCTTTCAAGCATGTAAAAACAGTTGATATGACAACACACATAATTTTACACATAACCCAATATCAATTTGCATATATCTATCTTATATACATCTATCTTGTATATATCTGACTTTGGCCAAAATCACTGCGCATGACTCTAATAATGCATGTGCTGGGCAAGTTGATTCACTAGAGTGATAAAAGTGATGATGCAATATCAGTGGCATTTTAACTAGTGTGTAACAAAAAGCTAACCTTCGGTCCCCCATGCAGTGTCTTGTAAAGTATCCTGGTTTAGCCTACCTCATTCTCTGAATTCTCCTGACCTCCACTCTTGCCCACTTTGCCAGACTTGGGTGATTCCTAAAAGAAAAAGCTTGGCATTAATGGATAAGTAGGCTGACAACACCAGAAGCAGTCCATCAGTGAACGACGGCCATGTACACATCTTAACTAAATATAGCAAGCCTGCCCACCCAGTCTCACACTTCTGTTTGAATACACTACTATTGCTGCTGCTAGCTAGCTAACGTTACTTCACACGAGCCCAGATTGCAGCTTTAAACAAGATACAAAGTGCTTAAATTTACATCTCCAATCACAGGCGCACTGCCTGGAAAAGCATATGCATTCAAAGTATAATATCTCACTTTTGGATATTTAAAATTAGGCAGCACAGTGTAACGCTACCAAGTGCTAATTTGGCAGAACGACGGCTAGCTAGTTAGATCATTTTTTTTGTTGGCTAACGTGATGGGACACGGCGCTTATAGCTAAATGTCTCGTTACTGGACTGGTTTATCAACAAATAAACTGAAATGACTCCCGTTCACAGCCACTGTAACCTCATATCGATTCTCAAACTCACCTTGTCTTTTTTCGGCATCGCACAAGCGTAACCGCCCTTGCTCCCCGTTTCTGCTACTCCACAACCAAAACCTTGACAACTCTCC